TTCTCCCTTTGATACCAGTTCATTGCAAGACAGATTTTTGCAGTCTGCAAAATTATTGGTGCTTTCTTTGACCCCCACAGACTGCTGGACAGTGTGTTTTTAGTAGAGTTTGTCCTTAATGCTTACTCAACAAAGTTATCTGGAAAGTTACCTGCAGTTATCTGCCCAACAGAGGTATCTGCAATTACATTTCTCTAGCTCCATGACACAGCAGCTGTGTGCCATGCATTGCCACTCAGTGCCAGCTTTCTGTGCCACTGCACACCAGGGGACTGTAGGGTGGTTTTGTGCAGCCACAAAGACACTTTTGTTGCAGAGTCCCAATCAGGAAAAATTAAGGGGAAAGACCCAGGCTTATCAAGGCCAATCCCACATCTTGGTCTAAACAATCCAGCAAGCCAAGGAAAGAGAAAGACTGAAGTCAAGGCCCTATCTTCATTTCAGAGCTGTGATTCCAATGCTGGCTATAGAAAGGCTAAATTATTATTAATTATCATTAATCAAATCTGTAAGAGCATAGTTGGTCCTCTGGTGAAATCTTTTTTCACTTACTTGAAAGATGGTTTAACAGATATTTTAGAAAATTTATTTAATTCAGCCTTATTGATATCTATGCCAGAGATCCTGTCAGGGTCCCATTTGAAGCAAAGCTGGTCTCCCCTGACTGTGAAATCTGCATGTCTCCAGCCCACCCACTGCTTCCCTCCATCATCAGCCCTCTCTACTCCTTGCAGAGCAAAACTTCTTGTAGGGGGGAAAAAAAAATAAAAAAAATTTTAAAAATTGGACATCTCTGAAGGCATAAGCAAGACATCACTAATAATTACAACTAGATTACCACACACCAACATTTGACAAAACTCCACATTTTCCATTTAATTAGAAATACTACATAATTCAAACTATCTTAAAACTTCAGTAGGCAACCACTGCCTTGAAGTGCTACATTTGATTAGTACTCAACTTCTTCCTTACTAAAAATAGAATAAATAGCTCTCCTCTACACAAGCTGAAAATAGAGAAGAGTTAGATATAACATTCTGACTCTAGGTGAGCTCTGAAGAAAAGAAATGGCTCTCCAAGGATTGAGAATTAGGCAGCAGAGTCATTCTCATCAATATCTTCCTTCCCAAAACCAGAAGGAGCACACTGCTCCCTTCTTCCTCTTCTGCTCTGATAGGCAAAAGGACTGAAGTTGTTCCAGTTCCTCCCCTGTTCATTTTCTCTCATTCACATCTGCCAAACCTCCCTCAGAGGCGCAGAGACAGGGATGAACCAACAATTTATCCATTTGCTTCCTACATGTTCACTCAGGACTGTGACAGACAAGGGGGTTTTGCTCTTCCATGTGTGGCTGTGCTGTCTAACCCAGTCATCCAAATGTCAGATGCTGTCCACAGCTGCACTGCAGCCAGCCAAAAGGAACCAGCAGCACAAGGAAGTTTTGATTTGACTAATTTCCTCTATAATTTTCTATTTTCACCAGATATTTGTTATTTTGCAGTAATTTGCTGCAATTTTCCTCCTTTTGCCAACAGACAGTGGCTTCTTCTCTGCACTTTTTTTTGCAAACTAGAACTATAGAACTATTTTGCCACTCCAAATACATCTTCTCTGAGAGCATCTCAGTAATACTCCTTAGAGGAATTAGCAGAAATTCTTTCATGTTTCAATGCATTGTTCAAAAGACAAATAGAAGGCTTGCAAGACCCAGAACAAAGTCTCAAATAGCCATACTAAACAAGCAGCTGCTTGACTGTGGCTATCTGCAGGAAAGCTACACTGTGATTAACTTATGCTGAAACAGACACAGCCCTTAAATGAGAATATCAAGCAATTATCTGTAGAACAGAGGAAAATGAAACACTGAATAGTCACAGCCAGATGATTTTCATATAACCTCTCCACAAAACTATTGCAGGAGTTCTTTAACTTCATTTGACTTTGGCAGGTTTTGATAGCACAGTACAGTTATTTCCCTTCTTGCCTTTCCTCCTTGGAGTGTCCAGTGTTCTCTAAAGTCCTGCATAGGCTTTTTTCAGCTCTGATGGCCTGTACAGCCACAGAGATGAAATGAAGCTGAGCCATTCTGAAGCATCTCAAAGAGAGTGACTAAGAGATGTAGGAAGCTAAATTTTGCAACCAGGTAAAATACAGCCTTCTGCTGTAGCATTTAAAGCTACACAGACATAGATATATAGAGCTGGAGGTTATAACTTAGCCACAGCCACAAGGAGAGAAGTTAGTGTGGAGCTGCATCCCTCCAGAGATATTCTGAGGCACTGTACCTCCTCTGACATCCCACTAAAAGCACACACAGCTCTCTTTTTGCAAGCCAAGCCAGCTGCTCGGTGCAGAGACAAGAGCTGGCTATGGCTCTGCTGCTTCCTTTCTGATTTGAAGTAGATACAAGCTGGCACATGGGGAGGGGTTCTGAAGAAATCTTGCCCGGTGTTACCACTAACCCTCTGTCTGCCTCTCAATCACTGGCTGAGGTTTGTCTCCAGCCTGAAAATCTCCTTACATTAGAACATATTTCAGCTCTTCAGAGTTGAAACTGTAGCTTTAGCTGTGACCTTTCCAGCACAGAGTATGCTATCAGCACATAAACAAGACAATACAACCCCTTAAACATGTTCAGCTTCGGTGAGGTTGCACAGCTGTGTGAGAAGCAGAAGCTGAGCGAGCAAAAGTAGTATCCACAGAGTGGGAACTTTAAGCCTGACCTCTTTGTTCTCTTAGGAGGTTATGTTACATACTCTGTCCAGTCATCAAACAGCTTCCAACACTATCTCACGTGGGGCTTCCCAAATCAAAGTTATCTTATGTGGCACAGCTTCACTGAAACACTGTGCCAGACAATTTAATGCCAAGGGTTCAATTAGTATTGCAGATCCTGGCTCAGTTGCAGAGACTAGATTGGGTGCCTGGAAGCATAGAATTTATATGGGATTTTATTTTTAATTTTTTGTACAGGCCCAAATTGATCCAATATATTTGTCAGGTGTCTTTGTTCTCTTACTGAGCTTGCCTGTTTCATATTAGCAAAATAAAACAATAAAATCAATAAATCTAAAATGCCAAATATTTATGTAAGGAAAGAATGTCAATATAACAAATTGTGCCTCAGGCAGAGGGATTAAGGTCTTAAAATGCACATCAGAAGCTTTATATTCATTATTATTATTATGAACATAGCTTTATGTTCATTCATTGAAGAACATAAACAGTTTTAATTAAAGTTTCTCTTTTTGTAAATAAGGAAGAAGGGCTGTCACTTACATTCTGAGAGGAAATGCTGCAGCAGGATGAGTTACTACCACCTCATTTGCTTTTTACCAGCCCTTTTCCAGGGGTAACTCTCCTGCTGGCCTTTCACAGCAGAGATACCTTTTTAACTGCTCTTTCTCTGGCAACCTGAGCTGTTATATTAGGCTACGAATGGAAAAGGCTGAGGCAAGGACATGCACCTTCCCTTCTCTCACTGCCAGGACAGCAACAGAACCTTCTGCAGCACAACAAATCAGACACCTTGGGGTAGGAATATTTGAAAGCATCACAGCAAGACTTGTTAGGCTATAAATGAAGTAGGAGAGAGATACGGTGCACTGCAGTTCTGAGAGAGAGATCCAGAAAATAGTCACAGACTTGGTTCAATATCTGTGAGGCATTAGCTCTCTGAAAGTTTGTGAAAAGTATGTCTTCTTTGTCTTCACATTTAAGCCACCTGGTAGTATTTAAATAGATATATAGCTAATATCTAAAGGGTTGGTGCAGCCCAGGATGCAGCCAGACTGTTCTCAGTAGTGCCTGGTGACAGGACAAGGGGCAATTGGCACAAGCTGCAGCCAGGAAATTCCATCTCAACAAGGGGAAAATCTTCTTTCTTGTGAGGGTAACAGAGCCCTGGGACAGGCTCCCCATGGAGGTTGTGGAGTCTCCTTCTCTGGAGACATTCAGAACCCACCTGGATGCAGTCCTGCGCAACGTGCTCTGGGCAATCCTGCTTTAGCAGGGGGTTGGACTAGATGATCTCTAGACGTCCCTGCCAACTCCAAAAACGTTGTGATTCTGTGCTAGCATATTAAAAGGATGTCTGAGTCCTTCTACATTCATAATGGCTCTTTGTGTATGTAAAAGGGAGAACAGGATGCAGAAGCACTGACTTCAGTATCAAAAGGGAGGACACAGCTTGACTTATCAGGTGTGCAGGTTAAAAATGGGCTTTCTGATACTGTCTTATCATCTGTGGCACATTTTTTTGGATGCAGGAGGACCTAAGATAATTCTTCTGAATGGCCTGTAGTATGAATGATGTTTGTATTAAATAATGACATAATTCTCTATATGCTTTAAATAGCTTATTAGAAGTAATGCTTAATTAAGAAGGTCTAGTACATTTAGCACCATTATTGTTTCCTATAATGCAAGATCTTTAATAATTTTAATGAAAAATTGTCTGTATAGAATAATTTTGCTCTTCTCTCCCCTTCTTCCTGCTCTCATCACTCAGATGATTTTGAGGCTTCATTTACTTACTACTTCAGTGTCTTTCAAGCTAAATGTACTTTATTTAAAAGCACTGCTATTCTCTCTCAACTTTCAGTCCTTGAAATATCCAACATTTATCTGATGAGGTTGTTTCTTAGCTAAGAAACACACATCAGCAAGGATAAAGACTTGACATTGAAATCAAATTAACAGCTCTGTAGCTGGCGTTTTGCTTGGAACAAAGCACCACATTTGCAGTTGCTTTAGCTATGCAAGGCTACCAACAGTAGAACGTGATAAAAGAGGGATTTTACTGGGTAAAGCAATAGTATCTGCCAGTATTTAAAGAAGCAGGCCTTTAAAACATGGCTGTACTTAGAAGCTAATATTCAGCACACAGATGCACTCTGCAAATGATGTGTTCTGCTTTTCAAAAGCCTGTAAGTGTGTGCAATCAAAAAATTTGCTATTGATGAGGTGTGGTCCTATTTGTCCTTTTTGTTGGCAGCATGCAAGACGACAGTTCAGAATCCTCTACTTCAATATCTCAACTTCTGAGAGAAAGTTATTTAGCTGAAACTAAACATCAAGGGAAGAGTGAAAGAAGCAGATCAGAAACAGCTTCTCATAATTTTCATTATGGCAATGCCTCTGGGGATTCAGATGAGGTAACTGCCCAAGATGACCTTCCAGATCTCTCTGCCTTTTTAAGCCAAGAAGAGCTAGACCAAAGTGTAAACCTGGCAAGACAAGCTATTGGTCAGAATCCACTGGAAATTAAACAGGATGAGCTTCAGGCACATTCACAGCATCCCCCAGATCAGCTGAAAAACACAGGAAAACACAAACAAATGGCCCAGTCTACAGCTTTGAAAACATCAGACAATGGCCCGCACTCAAACCTTTGTCAGGACCATGTAAAGGGCTCAAAAGGGAGCCCTCAAGATCTAAAGAAACAACACCTCCCTTCTGAATCAGAGTCAAAAAAGGAATTCCTAAACAAAGCAGCAGATTTTATTGAGGAGCTCTCCTCACTTTTCAAAGCTCACAACTCTGAAAGAATAAGACCCCGAACATGCAAAAACTACAGGAGCAAAATTGATTCTAAGAATAAGGCTGCTCATAAAGGTAGCTCTAGCCTACTTAGCACATCAGAAAACAGAGAAAGGCTTTCCATTCCAGTACCTCAAGACTTGGAAAACGACGCAGAGAAACCATTTGCACAAAGAGATGACCAACAGGAGGCAAGCTTGGAACCTATCAATCAATTAACAAGTGAGGAGCTAAAATCAGAGTCAGAATCTGCATCTGTGTGTTCTGATGAGCCTATTGGACAACCACCACGCTTTACTCAAAAACTGAAGAGCAGGGAAGTTCCTGAAGGAACCAAAGTGCAATTGGACTGCATTGTGATAGGAATCCCAGCACCTGAAGTCAGGTAAACATATTCTACAGTTGTCCTTTGCATTTCTGTGACAGGAGCTGTATACCTTACTCTTTCCAGATGTTTTGATGCGTATGTTTTGGTAAACTGGAGCAGAAGTCTCTTGATCTTGGCTATTAAAATCAATTCAGAAAAAAAAATTGCTTTCTTTAAATCATACAAAAGGTTGCTTCTATTTTAAGACAACATGGGACCCATTACTCTCTTGGAATTTTATAGAACTGTTTTCAAATATGGTACTTTCTTAACTAAAAGAAAGTGCTAACTCCTTAGTGAGAAACATGACTTATCTTTATGGAAAGAAAGATTGATTGTGTAAACTGGCTAAAAAACATCAATAGCCATGACACCTTGTGCTGATGTCTGAAGGTAGATGAGATGAACGAGTGTAGGATCCTAGAAACCAAAAACATCCATCCATGAATGGAGAGGAAAGGAGTTCATACAAGTTATTATACCAATAGCCATGAGCACCTCAGTTGTAATTCAGATTCTGACAATTACTCTGCTGTGACCTTAGAATAAAGCACTTGTTTTATCAAGTATATGACACTTATTAACTGATACTCGCTCATGTTGTGTGACTAGCCTGCAAATTATGATGCTTCACTTTGCACCTATGTCCAGGAGGATTTTGAAAGTCAAGTAACATTTGCAAAGATCACTGGAGATGAAAGAAAATGTGAAAAAGCTCCACTTCTTTAATCAATTACATAAGCAGGATGAGAAACAGATTATTGTCACTTTTTAATTTATCTTGGAAATTCTTAGATCTTATCAGCATTTCTAAATCTAAATTTGTACACATAAAAAGCTCTTTGGTCAAATTTACTCTCACTCACAGTGGTGGAATTGTATTTCCTTTGCTGAGACTGAACTAATGCAGTACTCCAAAACATGCAAAACTCCATCCATCTTTTAGAGCTGTACTACCCAGTAGGAAGGAAAACTCCATCCATCTTTTAGAGCTGTACTACACATATTTGCATCCTAATATCTGCAGTATCACAGATATCCTTAGACTAGATGTTTGCCTATCCTTTTATAGGCATTTTAGAAATCTGTGTTGCTTTTCTAAATATTGAAAAGAACTATTTTCATCTTCAGCATCTAGTTAAAGGACTCTGAGCTTCACAGATGGTCCACTTTTTCCAGCTGTAAGGTCATTGTCTTCTTTATATACCTCAACAATGCTGAGCACAGCACTACTGCCTTTTCTACTGCCATCAATGCCTTTTATCATCTTTCTCACTGGACTAATAAGCATGACCATCAAATGAAAACTATCTCAACATCCAAAGATGGAAGCTCCAAAGATTTTCGTAGTAAAGAATCTTGGTCTTCCAACCCTTGGATTTCTGGCACATAAGATGCTGATTTTTTCAGAAGGAAGAAGCTTATAAAATGCATTACTAAGCACATAGGAACAAGGACCTACAAATGAATCCTCTTGTTAAGAACAGCCTTGTCATGAAGACAAGAAGTTACCCAGTTCACAGGACCCCTGAACTGTGACTGCCAGACTATTTTGCCCCACCCAGTGCCTTCAGGAACATGTAGGTACTCAGTCCTTTAGAAGACATTGACCCCTGGTGCCACACAGCGTCCCTTGTCTATGACAGGTACATGAACTTCCAAAGGACTAAATTATTTACTTACAAAAGTGGAGCCTATTTTAAAGCTGGGGGAAATCCCCTTTTTTCAGAAGAAACAGAAGCTTTCTATTGTGTAAACTCACTGCTTCAATTAACAACTATGAGGCATTTCCTTTGTGGAGCTTACTCTGTTATAAATCTTGTATCATGGTCAGCCCTTAAATTCATAAAGGAGTCTGATTAACAGAGAAAACAGTACCAGAAATTTGGTTGTGTGACAGAAAACAGGAAATATCATCACCCCTAGACAGTAGCAACACTCTGAGAATAATTAAGCTTGCTTATGAAGACTTTGAGACTTATTTCTGCAGGCACTTGCCTTGATAAATTTTTGTTTATATTTCATTCAAAATGCCAGTAGGATCCCTGCACATAAGAAATTATTGTCTTTTCTTTCATCATTCATAGTTTAATACAAAGAAAACAACTGACTTTATCTTCTCCTATGTATATAGACCTGTACACAAACTTAATTCTGGCTTTCCCTGTGTTTAGACAATGAATTGCTTGTTTATAAACATGTTGTTTATAACAACATGTTCATTTAATGGTGTGCCAGACTATATGTCTATAAACTACAGACATATAGATCTACGTCTCTAGAAGGCCACAATATCATCCTTAAAACAGCACATCATGCCTGTGCTGTTGACACACAAATAAAACTGACAGGGTGTTCATGCCATCTAATCTTAGGCATTTAACAACTATCTGAATTAGAAGCTGACACTATAAAGTCACTGAAGCTTCAGAAGGGCAGACTGGAGAACCCAGGAACAGTGACTCATCCCATGGAGTATCCAGGGATGGCCAGGATGCCTGTGCACCCAAGTCAGGGACTGCTTGATTCCACAGAATTGGATAACAGGTATCTTTGTAACTTGGGTCTATTTTTGTCCCACAAAACTGAAACTTTTCCATTGACATTTTATTTTAGCATTTGTTTTTGTTTATTTTAAATAATAAAATAAGCTACTTATTTGTATGACAGTCAATACTGAGGCTGTTACATTTTAATAGAATAAGCATCCATTAGACTTTTCCAATTACAATACACTGGTGTCAGGCTCTGCACTGCTCCAAACAGGAATGCACACCTGAGTTACTGACTCATGCTTGCAGCCAGATCAGGGTCTTAGAAGAGCTAACACAGGAGTCCAGAACTCTCACCCTGATGCCCTAAGGCCAAAGGAAGTAATGACAGGGAGTCTCTTAGGGAAAATCAGCCCCAAACAGTCAAGCTTAAGAGAAAGTTCAGGGTTAGCTTTCAGTTTCACAGCTTAAGCTAAGAAATAAAGATAAAACACAAGGGGTAAGTATGAACTCTCCTTCCTCCTGTGGTTTGTTGACTGGGGTTTTTTTGGGGGGGTGTTGTGTGTGTGTGTATGTATGTGCTCTATTAAGGAGAAAGCTGGGAATTCTAGCTGCTTGAACAGGGTATCCTGATTGTCATTGTTAACACAACTTTTGCTCCGTTCATTCAAGATTATTTCAACTCCATCAAGATGTAGGAATAACACTAAGAAAGGGTGTGAAAAAATTGTTTGCCTGAGTCATAAATATTCATGTGCTTCCAGTAATCGTCAGTCACTGCTACAACATGAAGAAATCAGAAATTATATTGATTTTTGGGTTATGTCTTCCACTAATCATGGGGACCGTGAGAACGTTGAGGTTTTTCCACTAAAAGTAGTGCTTGTCTTTGATCTGCTCTGCAAAGCTTCCAGAAGGGTGAAGGAAGCATCTTGTTGGCCTTAGTTGTGAACTGGGTCCAGAACTGGGCTCGGAACTGGCAACTCTCTTGCTTTGAGGGCTACCAGTTTTCCAGGGTTTGTAATGAATTAGTTCCCTGTGTGTGGAGCTGCGCAAGGAAAGAGGGATTCTAACAGAGAAGCAAGTGCAATAAAAAAATCAGTATTCCTAGGAAAGGACTAACTGGCAAGGTGGCAACTGATGGTAGAAAGCTTAGTGCTGACTGCTTCGGGGCATGATTTCTTCTTCCTTCAACTTAGCTGCATGATCAAGGTCAGTAAACCTGGTCATCCTCTCAACACACGTCTGCTAATTGTGTGCATGCCTGTCTCTTTGACTTCATAAAATGGAGACTTCCTAACTACAAAGAGGAATGCCAAGTGACTTATAATGCTTGTGATATATACACTTACCATGCAGGGATGGTACTGTGGGAACCCAATGCGTTGTGAAACAAGAACAAGATTCAACAGGCTCTGTAAATGTAGTCTCAGTCAACACTAGGAGCAATCTGATAGTTAAACTGATGCAATGGGGATTATAGCAGAGAAATTAGAGACAGGAGATTTAGAAAGAAGCTGATCACAGGAATGGGAAGGACTGGAAAATACAATGGGCAGATACCACATTTGAAAGCAAGACAGTACAGAATAAAACTGATGATGTAAAAAAGGGTGCAAATGACATTCATGATAGATCAGGCTCAAAATATTATTGGCAACACTAAAGCAGTATAACTTACAGGCTTGGTAGGTAACTATCTGGGATATATTGGGGCTCACTGAGGGACAGAAAAATGGATGATGGAGCAAGAGAAGAAACTGGGAACTGATTTGAAGCACCACTATATGGAAAACTAAATCTTGCTTGGCTGAATACAGACAGACCTGTTCAACCTCTTTTTAAGATAACTCAGCCTTAATATGACAAGCCCACAAGTAGAGGAAGCTCCTTAAGCCCACCCTTCTAGAAAGAAGTTTCAGTGAAACATTACCCATTTTTTGGTATCATCACCTGAATGCAGGGACATAGAAGAGATAAACAAATATTATTATAGTATATGGGTCTCCAGCTAGCTCAAACATTAGCTTGCAATTAAAGAGCACTACTGCAATTATTGATTGATTACTTTACTCTGACTAAGCTGCAGGTTAGAAAGAAGCATTTAAGAGAAGTGTTAAAAGTTTTGCTGACCTCTTTCTCATGCTTCCTTCTACAGCCCTGTTTCTGTATGAGTAATAATAGGTGTGACTTTTCACTCCTCTCTCTCAGTGAGGAGAGCACTCCTTATTCCCTCAAGTTCAGAGGTGCCTACATTTTTCCACACTGTTTGGCACATCACTCCTAGGTTAATTTTACTTATGAATCACATTGCATGGCTTGGCATACACAGCTAGCCTGGAAGTGTCATGAGGATTTGATGTTCTAAAAACAGGCTGTATGTCATAAGGTTTCCATGAAAACATTCTTTAACATAGGCATACAAAGCTTTAAAAGTGCATTTTAGTGCTGCTTTGTTTTGAGACTAGATCTGCAATTAACCAAAGATTCTGAGAGACTAAATTCAATTAAGATTAAGGTGTGGGG